TCGTCTACATAGGCGGAATACTTCGTGCGGATCTCGGCTTTAACCTATTACTTCACTCTAAGATATTAACTCATCACCAATTATTGGTCTTCGGCCCTCGGGATGATGCAACTATACAGCTTTCCATCTTAGATGCGAGTGCAGGGGGCCCGTCTCCTATATTATGAGCCTCGTCCCCCTTCGTCTTCTGACCCGTCTACCTCAAGCTACTACTTCAGCTACTCAGCGAATCACAGCAACTACCGTGATCCAAGGCTAATATCAGAACATTTCACCACTTCTCACTTTGAAAGTGAAGATTCTTATTTCGAGAACACTCTCCGGCTTGCCTGGTAGATAGATATTAACAAAACAGGCCATCGACATGGCTGTCATATTCCATCGTGCGAACGAGGCTCTCTCGATCAACCCTCCAAGCGGCAGTGAGGCGCTGAGCGTAAACGGTAGCAACTGGTTATGGGCAGTGACGGCTGTCTACGTCGTCTCTTTTCTTACCTTCTACGCTACTAGCTTCGTAGCTCGATCTGGCGAGAAGATCTTCCATTATCTCTTCACCATCGCCCTCCTTGTCGGTTCCATCTCCTACTACGCCATTGCTTCTGATCTCGCCTTCAAGGTTGTCCCGGTTGCCAACTACAGGCCTACGGAGCCATGGACACGACAGATCTTCTGGGCTGAGTACGTCAACTGGGTCGTCAGTTTCCCCGTCGTCACGATCGCCCTTGGCCTCCTGAGCGGTGTCTCTTGGGCAACTATCATTTACAACGTCGCTTTAGCATGGACCTGGTGAGTAGAACTCGTAGTATCCAATATAAATCTTCAAGATGTGCTAACAGATAGTAGGGTTATCTCTTACCTTGTCTCCTCCTTCACGGCTTCCAACTACAAATGGGGCTTCTACGCTTTCGGAACCATCTCATGGGTCCTTCTCGCATTCAGCACCCTCTTCCACGGCACAAAATCCGCCAGGCGCGTCAATGTTGCCCGTGACCGTAAGTCATACCCTAAAATAATTACTTATTCCTTGATAAATGGTGATTGCTAACTCTGATATCGCAGACACCCTTCTTGCGGGATGGATCAACCTACTCTGGCTCCTGTACCCGATCGCTTGGGGTCTATCTGACGGCGGCAACCGCATCGGCGTAACCCCCGGATACATCTTCTTCGGTATCCTAGACGTCCTACTTATCCCCGTGCTCTCCTTTGCCTTCCTCTTCCTTTCCCGAAGGTGGGACTACGGCCGACTTAACATCGCCTTCACCCGATACGGCCGCGTCCACCAAGCCGGTGAATTCCCCGAGAAGACGACTACCGCCCCCGCGGCACCCGTTGTCGGCGAGCAGGCCGCGTAAATAAAATAACCCGGAGTATCAGCATGGATCGCGCGTTCTTGCCTAGTGAGTGCTGAACGTCGCTTGCAGGCCCTCGGTACTATGCATATGGATATGTTCGAAAAAACTCTCTCACCTAACCTCGTTTGGTGTCAACCATGGTAGGCTGGGCCTGTCACTCTTTACGACTATAATGACCGACGAATCGTGACGACCTGGATTAATTGGGATGCGGGATCGGTCGCGGAATATTTTATGATTTATATATTATACCCCTTCGCTCGTTTAGATGGATGGATGGATGGATGGATGGGCATTATACCCTTCGTAGTAATAGGTGTGGGTGTTAGGGTGTGGTTGGGTTTAGCAGTCTATTAATACATAATGGTAGTTGAGATTAATAAATACCCCTTCTCTATTCGGTATAGATGTTGCTTGATGTTGTTCCTTGGGTGAATTCAGATGGTTCGTTGCTGGATGGGCTTGTTGTTTGGTGGCATATTATATCATTTAAGGGCTTCCTTCAATCGTCGACGTAATAACGATTAATCCTTCAGCTAGAAACTCTTATTTCTAGTGTACATACGCTATTACATTCCTACTACATTCCTACGGATACTCGTAATACACTAAGCAATTGTATGAAGACGAATTCAACATTTAAAGGAACGATGCAATGAGATGAGAGAGAAGCTCTAGGGTCTACGAAGACGGCGCCCATACCTAGGTCAATGGGTAAGATTCATAGTCTCATAGATAGCCGTGTGTGTGTGTGTGCCTAGGAAGACATCGCGCTCGAAGCTAAAAAGCTTCCCGTTGACATCCGCCCCATGGCCTACCTGAGACAGCAGCCCATCATCACCTCGATGTAGGTTCTACTAGGTTAGGGCTGTATGTTCCCCCTTCATGGCCTCTATAGTAAGGGCAACATTGATATCCGGTGACACATGCTAACATCTGGCTCGAGATATGAACTACTCAACATAGGAAGGGTCTACAGACTAAAGATAGATGTACGACGAGATAGCAAGGCGTGGTTTTCTATGGTATGTTGTACATCTCGGTGTGTCGTAGATGTGATGGCCGGAATGCCTACCTACCTACCATATGTAACTATATAGAAAGGCGACCAAGGAAGCAAAAAGTAAAGACTGTGGGTTTTAGTCCGACATTCTCCCCTCGAAGGGGCAAAAAGAGAAGCTGCGGTGAGTGCGGATCGAACGCACGACCTTCAGATGTTAGAATGAAGTTCGACTTCAGTCTGACGCTCTCCCAACTGAGCTATCCCCGCCGATTGATGAAATTTTAGGGCCGTATAATGGGTTATATTTCGGTCGTTTGTAGTGTAGTTTCGTGGCTAGCGGCGTTTAGGGCTGTGCTATCGCTTAGTGTTGCGGGTCTGGATGTAGGATTGTGGGGTTAGTGGGTGTATGGAATGGTTTCTCGGTGCTGAAGATTGTTTTTGCGGATTTAGGTGGTAGGTTGAAGTGTGTAAGTAGGTTCTGGGAATACGTGGGAGAGTGATTACGGTGCAATATGACGGGCATATTAAATGTTAAAGGGATAAGATGGCAATAACAGCTAGATCTTACTATAGGAGAGCATAAGCGCTTGAATTGCATCGGCAAAGAACACTTCGATGATGAACGGATGACTTTCGAGGATAACAATCTGGATACAAAACTCAACAAGACTTATATACTTTTCAGCGAACTACATGATATGGTAATTTTATATCATATATCATACGAGTCCGTTAAGTTAATTCTAACAAGAGGATATATATAACTAGAGATGGTAGGTCTAAAACAATTATCGATGTAATGAAAACCTTGTAATTCACATCCAATTATATCGGCTTCGTGATTGTCTCACACTTTATTCTACAGGCGAAACCGGGGTCAGATCTTTATGGACAAAAGATTTGAAGCTTAAATATGACATGCCATTCTAGGGGATCCAAGTTAGATCCGAGAGCAATACTTATCTGTATATGAATTTAGAAAAATCCTAGAGCAGATCAACTTGGACTAAATTCTTCGTGATGAATATAGTTTACAGTCTCGGACCTTGACATCTAGTGTAGGGCTCGACTTGTAGCTACTTGAATACTGTAGGATGGGTAAGTTTCATATTCAAAGAAACCGCCATTAAACAGGCCAACATCGAGAAAATTGGAGTCAACAGCTCGATGGAAACATTTCCCATTCTAAACGTAAGTACATAGCGAAAGTGCATCACCACAAGTGCAGCCATCCGGCGACACATCGGGTCAAACTCGGAGAATTGTGCAGCCCCGCACCAGCCTGCGGGGCAGTCTAACTTTGCGCACCCACCAGACGCCACTAGAATATAAGTGCAAAATCCAAGCCAGAACTTCAACCGAGGCACTAAGCCTCCTGCACCTTCCAAGAAATGGTAAGATGGCCGAGCGGTCTATGGCGGTAGATTCAAGAGTCTGACTCTTCTCTCATCCAATGGGAATCCTACTCCCGAAAGGGGCCGGGGTTCGAATCCCCGTCTTATCAAGGAAAATGCAATTATTTTTTTTTGTCTTTTGGCAGATTTTTTTTTTGTTGGTTGATGGCCAGCCCAACTACGTAAATAAATTGGACGATATAAATAGTTGAGTTGATATGAGAATCTGTACTGAATGCTTCCCAAGTCTTGAATTCTATTTTTTTTTCTTCCCTTTTGCTTTCTCGTAGCCCAGCGTACGGAATAGCGGGTAGTGTCGGCCCGTTCGTTTTACTCGATTCCTCACGAAGTATTTCTATTAACTATCTTATGCTCTTTTTAACGTCATATTTATTCACTGATAAAACCAACGCCTCTCCTGTGCATATAGTCGCATATTTAGCCATTGAAGGTCTACCTAGCTTACTGATTAATTAAAGCGCGTAATTTTCAAGGAGAGAGCCAAGGCAGTTAGTTGTGTTCTGGATAGAACTCGTGGGCTTCGAAACTGCTCTTCTTACATAGCTAAGTAGCGAAAATCACTGCTTGCCTTTAGATATGAGTTCTTAACAAGTTATTGTTATACTAATAATCCAATGTCATCTATAACATTATATTTCTATTGTGAATATCAAATTATAGTTTCGACAAGTGCCACTATCACCAATCTCAAAGTACGAGTAGCAAGGAAGTTCTAAACATAGATGAGAGAATCATTGACACCAGGCACACAGATCCCAATGTCAAGGAATCCTTGGTTACAAGAGAAACAAGCGAATAGACTCACATGAGTTCAAACTTACCTTTGCTAATCCCAACTTGCATGTCCTGGTACCCGATTAACTTTACCATAACCTGTTTCTTGCCTCGTATCCGCCGTGATCGACAGGAGAGCTGCTGGGAAAATACGATGTAACAAAAATATGATGATTCTACGAAGAATCTAAGTTTGGAATAGTTGTGAATAGTTGCCTTACTTTATGAGTGACTCGTAGTCCCGCAATGCCGCGCTCGAAGCGGTTACTTACCACCTAATTATCCCTACCCACTGGATGTTAACGAATTTATTATCACCATCATCTCGGATGATCTTCAATCCTGCGCACACTTATGCTTGAGGATTCGAAACTGGCGTCCTAATATCGGGGAAGAGTGCTAATACCCATTCCACTCGTGCCGACAAACGCCAATTTCCGACATATCATAACGATGGCATCCCTAGCCCCCATCATCCCTCCTATCCTCCTTCTCTACACGGCACCATGCCGTGCGCAAGGCCTAGGCGAACACGATACCCCCGTACCAGAGGACTTCCCCAAAGCATTCATCACCGCCATGGCCGTGGCCATCGTCAGCGTGGTGCTGCTGCTCACGCTAGTCTGCGTGCTCGCCCACTCCTGGCAGTACATCCTATGCCGGCACGGGCGGGCGACGTCCTCGGGTGTGCCAGAGCGCTGGTTCGGCCCAGTATTCGAGTGGCCGCAGCAGCTGCGCCCGCTGTCGAGGAGTAGTTACAGGCAGAGGAGGAAGAACCGCCGACGGCTGCGGGACAGGATTAGGATGAGGATGGGATGGGGGGATAAAGGGGTGGTGGGTGTGGGTATGGATGTGGGTGTGGGACAAGCAGAGAGGGCAGACCTGGTGGTGGGAGGGGGGAGCCGTAATATGGGCTGGTAAGGAAGGGAGTATGGGGCCCGGCATGCGGATGTCAAGCACCGAAATTCCGGATACGCGCACTTCTCGGTACCGGGTGCTAGCCGCTTGATATCTCATAGGCCTGCCACAACGCGTGTTGGTGGCTTTGGAAAGGAGACTGTCCCGTGTCCTAAATACGATATGATATGATAAGACACTATTGCTTTGCCTTGCCTTGCCGCTGCTGCTGCAAACAAGCTAGGTATATACCTACCTACATAGTGTAGATAGACGGGACCGACCTTGGGTTGAGCACTGGTCATTTGTGACCCGACGTATCATAAAATGAATGGGCTTGATGTTGTTGTTGTTGTTGTTGTTCCCGGTCAAGTTTGCTTTGCCGTTAAAAGAGCTCTGGCGATTAAAGAGTATTGTTTGATCACCAGGCCAGTGTGACAAACTTGGTTTCGGCTACTGAGAAAGCCGTGTAACTTGAGCGACGCAGATAACCGGGGGTCTCGACCTTTGGTTGGGTGCGAAAAAGCAAATTCTTCTTCTTGGCTTTGCTTTGCTTGCCTGCGTGGATCGAGGCGTGGCTGGCTGGAAATGAGTGCATATTCTAACTGTCTATAAGCGCCGCTTAGGATGCCTACCTATCTCAAGAATACTCTGCTACTTCTGGAATCAAGTCAAGTTTACCTTTCGATGCAATAATTTTTGTATACATGGGAATCGATCTAGTGTTACCGGCCGTGCCGCATCTCGGACTTCAGACGGAGTGATTTGGACACAGAGCTGGCATTAGGAGTGCCGCAACCGATGCCGGCTTCGGTATGTATCATGTGTTATGTTCACAAAGGCGGGATACACCACATTGTTTCTTAGCCTAATTTCAAGCATCGCCGAGAGATCGAAGATCGACTCTCTCGTGAAGTGCTCACGCGGTGGCGTATTAAGAACTACGCCGTGGATTTCCTTAGTTGGACAACTATTGGGAGGATCCTTCATTATCATGTAAGACAGCTAAGACAATTGATGACCCTCTACTATATAGTAGCCTCTGTTTCTTCAAAATGGCGCGAACAAAGGCTACACGGCAGACAGCAAAAGACCTACTACCTACCTAGTCACGGTTACTATACCGGTCGTATTCCTTAATGGAATATCCTTATGTGGGCAGCCGGGATAGGTTTCACGCATCTCGGAGTCATACTGCTAAAGTCGAATCCATATCCAGGTACACATAAGTTTAGTACGGCTCCTCGACTGTTTGTGATTAGTTACCCTCTCAACGTAGGCTCGAGGGTATATGGTTTGTACCTAATAATTCGATACGGTCATGAGCGCGGAAAGCAGATTGCCTAGCCACCATCGGGAACTCGGGAATATAGAGATAAAGTTCTCATGATGTCCTTGTAATTGAAGTGACTCGTAATGTTAAGATGCGCTTCTAGACCGCTCTACTAACTTACGATAACACTTATCACTAACAATCTGTTATAAATGACGGCGGGAGTTGGTGTCAATAACCGCGTCATAAATCCATTCGACACGTATGCGGTAGACGACCCCGCGGCTGGCCACTGGCTTGGCTACGCGCGCGCGAGGCAAGGAAAGTGTAAACGACGTTGCAAGACATACACGTGGACTGGAACGACCTGGTGAATATGCCTACATAACCTAGTCTATTGGCGGTGGCGGGTTGGGACATGCGATAACTCAGCTTAGAACGTTAGGTAGGTTAGGTGGTTAGTGTAGGTACCTGGTTAGGTATGCCTGGACGTTGGCGGTTTTGATTTGCTAAAATAGTCATTCTTTTTGTCCTAGTCATCGAGAAGTAGTCGCTGCTGTCCAACGAACTAAAGACCCTTGTAAACGTTATACATTCCTTGGGGCAACCGGTGCCGCAGTGCCGTTAGCTCGGGTTTCTTTATGTAGGGGTTGTAGGGGTAGGCTGTGTTATTACACATTGGTAAAGAATAATGGATCATGAATATGTAGTACCACGTACTTTCATAAGACCACTAATTGGGAATAGGTACCTGTCGAGTCAGGTATTCCCAGAGCAAAGGGCCGACAGGGTTTCGGCCGTACTTGTGCCATGCAATGACTTATATATGACCTATCACGATGCTAGACGTAGCTTCGGTCCCAAGCGGTCCCAACTAACCCCTAAGACTAAGACGAGCTCATCCTGATAAGTTGACAAGTTGATAAGTGGACTTTTGACCCGTCCCGGGCTTGAGAATCGCTACCCCGACTTCGACAAAGTTAAACCTTACATACGTAGCGACCGTAAGTAGTGGAGGAGCCGGCAACCGGGCAGCACGTCATCTCATCTTGACACCAGGCGAGTTGTGGTGCCGAGTTTATTTCTAGGTGCCGCTTGTCAATGTCAACGTGGACGTGGGAGTAAGACTCGGTTCCAACGCCCGTGGAAATCTTAAATTCTTGACTCCTTGACTCCATGTAGATATGCAGCGCATAGGCCAATTGACGTATCAGATGATATAGATCCACTCAGTCCTCGTTTCTGATCTTCGGTCTTAAGCACGTTTGCGCCGATGGGGTCAAGTGGATAATGATTGGTATCCCGGGTGTCTGGGTCCGTAAATTATTGTAAGTGCTGTGAATGGTCACTATTAATTGTCTCTAGCGAGCTTGCGAATGGAACCAAATTTTGCTTTCGGTAGGAACATTGTCGATTGACATGTTGTCATTTACCCTTAATGGGGACAGAATATGATCTAGGTAAGAATTCCGAAGCTTTCAACGGCACAGCGTTTAAAGTAGGGCGTTTAAAGTAGGGGCGACTTAAGCCTACTTTAGTATCATCATTCGCTTAGGTACTTCTGAGAACAGGCCACTTAAAATAACACTAAACGGCATTTAACCTTAGCTCCGGTACGTACTGTTCGTAGCAAACAACCCTTATTATTAGCAGACATTAGCGTAGAAAATTACATAATGACTACAATACAAAATATGCAACTTGATATGCAGATTTAGAGCATAGAGTTCCATATTTGGAACAAAGGATTATTTAACGTCGTTTACTCGGTCTCATCAGGAATATAAGAAATATACCTAGATACCATACAGTGAGATAAAGATTTCGGCGAAAAGATAAAAACATTCGGGTTCTACCCGCAATGCGTCCAAGCCCATGTGGTAATGCCACTGATTTCATGCATGATACCCAGGTATATTACATCTAATATATTTTGCGATCCACGATTCCAGAAAAAAAGATAGCTAATACGAAAGAGGAATAGAGGCTATTTAAACATCTGCTGTTGGTGCGAGGGGTATATACATACGAAATTAAGCAATTAGGTAATTAGGTATATATGTACACATATAAGAATGGACGTACGTTGGCTCTAAATAATGGGTTTAAACGATCGGTCGGACTTATCATTTCGGCCACAACTTAGTCTCCAAACAAGCATGAGGAGGATCGCTAAACATTACCTAAGGTACTGTTTGCTAAAAATTGAGTCGTAAAAAGAGTAAGAAAATGAAGTCTCATCAAATGCCATCTTTTTTTTTTCCCTAATCAGTCGTAGTGCTGTATCAAAAAGTGCCAATAACCAGGCCTTTCCTTTTCTTCCTCTTGAATACATCCACGTAAGCAAACGACTAAGACATTCCATTGTAACTATTTGTGCGGATAGAACTCGAACCTCCCCTCGAGTAGATGCGAAGCACGCGTCTATTATACCTATGTACCTCATAGTATGCGCTAGCGTACGAGAACATGGTAGTATTTGGCATCGCCTAAGGGCCTCATCTGCTGTTTAGTGCTCCACGCATGTACTGCAAATGTCGGCTCTATCCGCGGTTACGGGAATGGGGGAACTAGGTAGGTCCGTTATTTTGGCGCCTCTCTGAAGTGGCCGGAATTTTTTTTTTGCAAGACATGGCCTCTTTTAAAACGCGAACCGTTCTGAAAAACTTCAGACGATGGAAAATCCTGGCTCGTGGTAGACCCGCTGGTTGGCCGGTTGCGTTGCTGCGGCGCTGCGACTCCACCGGTTTATACACTGCATCGCCGCGGAACCTGCACGCTTCTGCACGTCTATGTAAGAAGCGACATGTAATTTTACACAGTACGGGAATTTATATACTAACACCGTCTCCGGTCCAAGGAGACGGGACTGGCTTAACCTGAGGTTCTTGGCTTTGTTGAATAAATCCATTCGGGGATTTGCTGCCGGGTTGAAATTGAGTGGAGGACCTTCCATTCTTATACAAGCCGCTTGGTCAGAATGTTCCAGGCACCCCTGTCCTTGGGATTTTCTGGGACGGGTGCTGCTTAACCTGCTTAACGGTTACAGTGTGGGTATGACTTCCCAGACAGGGACAAGCGATGGAAGGGTAGTGGGTATTACGGGTGGGGCTTAGAATCCACTTAGGGTGGGAGAATACTATATCTCATTGGTGAAACACGACCCACAGGTAGGGAACCCGATGCAATCATCTTCACCCTGCTCTGCCTGCTTCCCCCGTGCCTCCCCGTACTAACTAACCCCCCCCGGTTGATTTCGCTCGGGCCAATCCCATGTCCCTTGCACTCGTGCTATCGCCCAATCTGCCAAATGCCCTCTCCAGCGCTACCATAGGCTCCCACGTCCCAAACTAGCCCACTCTCAGCATCCACACAACTGGCTTCTCCCCTTCTCTGGGCGCCCGGCCCGGCTCTTCTCTTCCCTCTGTTTTCTCACACATCAAACTTTCCATCCCATCATTCTGACAACTCGGACGACAAACTCGCCAGCAACCGTCTGCTTCTTGTTTGTGGGCCTCGTCGTCGGCCAGAATCAAAGATACTTCTGACCGTCGAACTGAGTCGATCCCGGTCACCCACGAATCAAGGCGGCGAGACAAAGTTCCAGGGAGCAACTGCTAAAACTCCAGGTCACATCTGATTTTAATATCTACCGTCATCGTTCCGACCGTTCGCACCGTCCTCGAGTTGCCTCGCGCTAGAAGCCAGTGCTTTGGGTCCCCTACTAAACAAACTTCGCCCTCGACCCAGTTTGACGGATTCCTTTTTATCTATTTCGCCTGCCAGTTTTCTTTATTTATGCCCGCGAGCAAGTTAAACCTAATTCCGCTTGTCTGGTTCTGGTCCTCTTTCACCTGACGGACCGAGCTTCTGGGACCGTGGGATTGCTGGTAGGATTTAGTTTTGGGAATACATCAAATTCCCCATATCATTACATACGTTTTTTTCTTTCTTTCTGAGGTAGAATGTCCACAATGCTTCCCATTCAGGTATGTCGCAATCATAGTCGAACCCAATACCATTTTTGGCAATCCATCTCGGTCTTGTCGCGATGCCGTGCGATTGGTCTCCATTTTGAACACCTTTTCGAACGATCATTAGGCGTCGGCGCATTATCATGATTATTGCATGCTAATTTAATTATGATATAGCCCGAGTCAAATCTGGTGAATGTCATTATCCCTCAGGCAGAACCGAAAATGTTCGCTCGCGAGCAGCGCATTACTAGGGGCGGTAGACATTTATGGTACCAATTGGACGTTCTGCAGCAGCCCGAACGTGCGAGAGCATGTGGTTCCGGACCCAAGTGTATGGAAAGCCACTTACTATGTTTCTGACCAATACCGAGTCTCAAATGTGACTAACCAAGAAATAGCTTCTGCCGACCGTCGGCCAGTCGATCCGCCGCCTGTTGTGACCCTGAGGGTCTTTGAAGGAGAGCATTTCGAAGGTGCTAGGGATATCACGTTCGACTATAATGTCGATTTCTTCTGTTACGCCTCACTTGAACATGCCCGCCCCATGGCCCACGGCAGGGTGCAAACCCCGGCGGCCACGTCGCCTCCCGTACTTACCGGATTCCCAGTATCAGGATGCTGTTACCTCGACCGACCCGACCCAGCTGGATACTTTTTATTCCCGGATCTTTCAGTTCGCCACGAAGGACGTTATCGCTTGGTGTTCAGTTTATACGAGTTGATTAAAGAGGAACAAGACCAGGACCGAGATGCGCCCCTTCCGGACCACGATGATGGGATGTCAGATCTTAGTGCAGGAAATGCCAACCACCGAATGGACCTCAGGTCATCAGACTTCATCGTCTATAGCGCGAAGAAATTTCCCGGGTTAACCGAGAGTACCTCCCTGAGCCGCACGGTTGCCGAGCAAGGTTGTCGAGTCCGTATTCGTCGAGATGTTCGCATGAGACGTCGCGACACCAAGGCATCTGCAGCTAGCGAATATGACAACAATGCGGAAGAAGAGTACGCTCGACGTCAGAGACATAGAACGCAGACTCCGGAAGCCTATCGTGCTCGGTCCATGAGTAACTCGAGCATGGATCGTGCCTCGTATGCACCGGAGCACCCGCGGCGCCCATCGAATGCTGAATATGGCCCGCCGCCACCATTATATCAAAATAGCCAAGCTCCTTCGACTATGCTCAACTTCGGACATGGTGGAAATACAGGTTTCGCCCAGCCTTACGGACCTGCACCATCTTCTAGTCAATCGACTCCCGTGTCTCCTGCGGCATCGATATTCCCTCAGAGTAACAACTTCCCACCGCCGCCGCCATCACCTAGTTATGCACCTCCGGGTTATCCTCATTACGAATCCCCTGTTAGTGATCCGGATCTTAGGAGAAGATCTTCATCCAGTTACTCGACAATCTCGGCCAAACCAACGGCCCCGTATCCACTGGCCCGAGCACCTACTCGGCCGCCTACCTCCTCTTCCGTCGGGCCCATGCCTCCGCTTTCTGCTATAATTGCAAGCCCGAAAATGTCTCCAAATTATTATCCCGATCGTTCCGGCTCGATATCAGCACTTTCTAGACCGATGTATCCACAGATCGAGTCTCGATCTGTGAAGCGCTCAATCGATGAGCTCACATCTAGTTCCCAACAGGGCCGTAATGTCAACGGTGACCGTCCTTCGATAGACTATCCTGGAGTTCCGTTTTATAGACGGGCCGACGGCTCGCAGCGGCCAGCCGCATTCCCCGATTCCATCGCGTAACGAATATAGCATATTTACGGATGTTTTTACTGACAATGTCAACGGTCTGCAATGGAGTTGGGTGTTGATCGGCGCCCATGACCTTTGCTGTTTGCTTTTTGTATATACTCTAGGGAGCTGTATTTGATTGATGGCAGCATTTTTCATTCTCATGTTCCCGCCAATTTTTTTTATTTTTACCTTACCACTCATTTGCATTAGGTTCATCATTTTAGCATATCAGGCTTTATCTGCCGGGATGTCTTGCGATGTTTACGCATTTTTCCTTTCCACATACAAATACTTTATATCACCGGATTGCTTAGAAATTACTATGATTGCAAGATTTCTGCATATACCAAGGCAGAAGGTTACAAGGCGGTGCTGAACGGCTGGGGTTGGTTCACCGAAGGCGCAGCAATGACTGTAGAGCATACCCGATGAGTTGGCAATTGGCGGTTGGCGATTGGCGATATCACAATACCGTTATTATTAGGCTGGAATCATGTTCCAATTTTTCATGTGTTAGTGTTAAGGGATTCCAGTGAGTACAGCGGTGCTTTTGTTGTACATATATGGACGAATAAAATGTATGAATCATCATCATAGTTCGGTTGTCATGATCAACAAATACGACCAAATATGCATTTAGCGTGAACTGGCAGACTGGTCATTGCATGCGTACCAAAGAATTTCACTTTACGGAACCTCGAGTTGCTGTACGGATTAGCTCTGCATGCTCTGGGGATCCAACCTCCCCATATCGCACCTAGCCGCCAGAGTACATAAACTGCAGCCTTTCTATTGAACTTCACGATTCTTCCCTAAGCGGTTGCAGAATCTTTTCCTCGCTTGAAAGGGTTTTCGCATGGCGGTCCTTCAATTCGGTTACGGTAATTGATTCTCAATTAGGAGTATTAGTTCACCTCATAGTAACGGGTAGTTTCATGTACCTCCCCATTTAGGTTAATGTTTTTACTAGCTTCAATTTAACTAACATGAAATAGGTAAGATTTGTTGGCGGGTAATTAGCCCTAGCTTGCATGTGAGCACTCGGTTGCCCCCCCGACCCACCGGTAATTCTAGCTGGGGTAGCAACGGATTGGCTGCAGCTTACAATGTAAACATACGCTCTATCCCCAACTTGGGGTTCAATTCTTTTTTTTTTCATAACGCTCTTCTAATGATTCCTTTAGCCGCCAGACTTGCCTTCTCGAAGCACTCATCATAGTCGTCGCCATTATGGCCTTCGATACTTCTAGGCCCTCAACACAGAATGGCGGCTCTCGCCCACCTACTTCACGTTTCGTCGAGGGTTCTATGAACGATCGAGTCAGCGCTGTACCACCCAAACAATTCCTCGAGCCTGGTCAGCTCAAAGAATACGAAAAGCAGTTCTACGCTGAGCCTTCAATATTTCAACGAGATGCACGCAAGACACGCCGGCCGTTCTCCGAGAGCAGCATGTCTCCTCGAGCCAAGCTACAAGACCACGTCATCACTCATAGGAAATCGACGGGTTTCTTTGGCCGAGTTCGAGATGCCTTGGGATGGAGCTCTTCGTCGTCCTCTTCTCGGAGCAGTGGCAGTGGTAGCACGCACAAGATGGAGCAAGTGAGGAAACATAAAAGTCTTCAAGAACCACTTCAGCGTCAAACCCCTCCAGCACCGCAACCGGAACATCTCCGAGCTGCTAAATCCCACTCTGAGATGTATAACCTACCGCATCTGCCCAACTTGGGTAACGGTGCCACCCGCCCATCGCGGGAAGATGTCTTAGAATCATACAACCAACTAATGGCGAGCGGCTTCTTTCAATCGCACGCCATACACTCTACCCGCCACGCTGCTCCAGGAAGCCGTAGTCGTGACCGCTATTCTACGCCCCCGATGCCTTCGATACCAGGCTCCGGACCTTGCTCCCCACAACCTCCTCCGCGTACCTCTTCCATAGACGCCACCAATATTTTCAAGGCGGTTAGGTTGCCTGGCTCGCCATTAAGGGCAAGCTTTCAAGGACGAAGAATCGAAACACCGGAGCCGGAAGACGAGCCGATGCATATACCAGCCACTTATGATACTCGCCGTCCTACTCTCCGTAGCCGAAAACGCAGCAGATTAGATACGGAAGATCCAGCAAGCGTCGAGGCACCAGGAATGTCTACGTCGTCATCTTTTGTCGAACCGCTTAAGAGGGTAGCAAAGAAGCTACGCAAGATGCCATCCCCAATTAAGGATTTGCAGATGTCAGATAGTTTCCTCCAACTCCCACCGTCGCCCACGACTTCCACCCGTGGTACGTCGTACTTGAAGGAGATAACCGGGCGCATGCGATCGTCGTCTCCAGCACCGGCACCGGTACCAGTACCAGTACTAGTACCAGTATCTCGAGAGATGGTTGGCAGGCGGGTTGAGCGGATTGAGCGGATTGAGCACCAGCACCCGCGTAGATCCCTCTCCAATAGCAGTCGAGACGGTAGTAGACTGCGAAAGCGCGGCAAGTCGTCATCTCTGCGATCGCGGACCTCATCGACAGACTCTGAAAATTGGGAAGTTCTCGGGGACCGCTCGTCTATGGAGGACGTCCAACAAGACGAGATGGATATATTCCGCCCACGATCACGAGAGCTGCCTCCTCTGAGCGTCGTGCCCGATGCAAATCGTGGTATTCCTATGGTCCCGCGCATCCCAGACCAGTACAGCTACCACAAGCCCCGTATCTACTACCACCAAGACGAGAATATGGGGGCAAACTGCTTTTATGGAGAGGCGCTATAAGGGTTTCGTTCCCATGACAACTGACCAAGCGGCAGAAGTAAAACGGACAACACGACGATTTGACGACTTTCCTGGATCCGTTGTATGACGATTATGACTGATACGAAAGAGCAACAAAAGCGATCACAGAACCATTATTGGGAAATCGCGGCGTTTAATTCCTATTCCGGGCGGATTATATATGATTATTTTTTCCTTGTGTTTTTCCTTGCTCATGATGACGAAAAAAAATACTCCTGGTTACGAAGATTTACGACTTTTCCCTTCTTGATTTCCCTCCTGCTTCTTCCAACATACCCCCAACTTACCGGGACTCGAATGGAAAAAATGATGATGGATATACCACTTTGCGAACGAGATCGGCTTGCTCTTGCTATTATTCGGCATGGCACTGCATTGCATTAACGCGGCATTCGTGTGAGCAGAACAGAACAGAACAGAAAAAAAAGACAGAAAAAAACTTCACTTCAGGCGACGGGCGTAAGAACGTACGGAGACGAGCATCTAACCAATAACTACCTTGTTTAGTGTTCTACCGACTCTCGACCTGTTTTGGCTTTTTAGTACGATGCAATCAACTACCTACCTAACCAACCAACGGAACGGATTGCAGAAGAAGAGAAAAAAAAAACTTGTAATAATATTAGGGCGGTTTTTCTATACACTTTTTTGAAAGGAACCAGCTATTATGGCTGTGATGACGATTACGGAATGAAATAAATTACTTTTCAGTATTGGGAATGAATGAGAGCTGAGTTGTTGAGTTGAGTTGAGTTGTTGATACACTTTAGTTTAGCATACCTTGTGTGCCTGCTTACTTACTCGTATTGTAAGAAAGAGACCACTTGAATAAAGAATTGTGTCTATAGTAGTTAATGCTGCCGATTTGCATGTTAGTGCTTGCTTGTATCGATTGTGGTTTGTGTGTAATATGATATTGTATTGTATTGGTATTGTCAAGGTCTGTCTATCTAATCAAATGATAGCTTCGTAATTTGTAATGATACACTGTTCAACGACTCTCTATAAACCTCCATAAATCACCAAGGACATGGCCAAACATGTAGTTAATAAGCTCTATTCCGAGCGAAAAAATCTACGCATGGTAGGTAATAACGAGGCACCCGACCTAACTAGGTATATAGCAAGGTCTATCCGGGGCTAATGCTCGCCAACTAGATTACTAAGGTGCGTACCATGCCATGCCATGCCATGCCGTGAGCATACGTCATAGACTCGCCACGGAGACGGAGAAATGATGGGGGGGGAGTAGTTAAAACAAAAGCCGTCGAGCCCGCCCCTCTTGCCGCGGCCGAGGAATCCTGTCCATCCGTGACCGTTAACCGCCCCCCTTCCTTTGCTTTGCCGCAACCCCCGTCCGAACTCCTAAAGCATGCAAACCCGATTCCGTTTCGTACAAAAACTCTCTTCGGAAATAATAAGGGAAAAAAAGGACAAAAAATTGGAAAGCGGGTGCGCTCTGAAAATGTGCCCCGCCGGTTCTCTTGGTATCATTGCCGTCTTTGCCTGAATGATGTAGTAATAAAAATAGTGTTACAATAATGATGATGAGTGGAAACAAGTAAGAAAAAAATCTCCGCAGTTCCCTTAGGCGCTGCGGTCGACCGTTCTCGAGGGTCTATAGTTAGGGACTTCGTCGAACCATCTCTGTTCCTCGTTGTACTTGTACGCGTGGAACTCGATGCCGTAAGGCTTGGGCTCGATAGCGTAGAGCATGCCTAGGGGCATATCCAGATCTGCGATGTCGTCCCTGGTGAGGTCCATGAAGTACGCCATCAGAACACGACAGACGGAACGGTGCCCGATGATCATGATGTGGTCCTTGATTCGCTCGATCTCTCGCACCATATCCCGAAGACGACTGATGACCTGGAGATAGCCTTCACCGCCGACACCGGGGTAGACGTATTGAAGTTTGTCCGTTTTACGTTTCTTATACTCATCCGTGTGAGTGCGGGCAATTTCCTCGTAAGTCAAGCCCTCAAACTTTCCGGCGTTGAGCTCGTTGAGCATCTCCCAGTTCTTGACGTCATAATCTTCGTCTGCTTCGAAGTACTCAGCCGTCTGTATACTGCGTGTCAACATCGATGTCCACACACAGAAATTCTTCTCCTCGAGCTCGCGGTTCAGGTCAGGATAAGGCGGCGACTGGTCTCCAGGTAGAGGAGGGAATGATGCTTGTGCAGACTTGTCCTTCTGCTCTACCAGCCATTCACTGCGCTTCTTTGTGACGAATCTGTACAGACATTCACTGTAACAGTGTCCGCGGTCAGTCAGTTCGGAATTGCCACCGATCTTGCCCAGTTTGTTATCCGCAGATTGACCATGGCGAGTGATCCATATTTGTCTCGGCGACAAATTAAAGGAAGATAGATAATTGGCAATACCACTGCTGAGGAACCCACCCAATCCGAAGTGGGTAAGTTTCTTGCCAACATCTGTCATCTGC